AAAACCACCTTTTTACACCAAAGATGTCTCAAGAATTCTTTCTTGGCCGTGGCTCTGAACCCCAACCACTTCCTACATCATAATGATCATTTTTTAAGATCTACTAGCAGCATAGTATCATATAAAAAAATACTGAACTTAGAATCTAGGAACTTGGGCCTTATCAGTTAAGAGCTATGTGAGTGATCTTGGTCTTATTAATTTCTAGGCCTCTGTATTCTTAAAAAAGAGTTTAGAACAAATAACTTACGCCTTGGAAAACAGCCCTAATGTTATGAAATAATCATCTTAAGTACACTGGAATATACTTAAGTTTACCTGTTAATAAACTTAGGATAAGCGCCACATTAGACAGAAACATTGGTTGTATTTTACAAACACACTAAAATATAAGAAACTGCTAATCATTCTATAATTTTCTTTCTCCAGATGAGAGGGAAGAAACAGTTCTTCTGAAAGACAGAACAAGTAACCAAATTAATTTAAGGTGATTTTTAAAAAGTTTAAAACATGATTTGGAGAATAATTTATAACATCACTAAATGTACAGTTCAAACTCACCAAATATTTATTGAGCACACTAAAAGATGAGTGGGACTGGGTGTTTTTTTCAGTGTAGCTGCTTATAATCCAGTAGGAGGAATAAAATATTACAGTTTGAGTACAAGGACATGCCTTATTTAACTACTGATCCCCACCCAGTGCCAGCAACAATAGTGTCTGATGGAATGCAATACAAAAAATACAAAACTGTACTATAAAAGCTGTAAGAAAGGAAAAAATTGTGTAAGTTAAAAGAAAGAGAAAGCACATCCAGTAAAGGGTGGGAGATGGAGGTGGGAAAGGGGAATAAGAAAAGGGAGCAGGAAAGAGTTAATGTTTAAACTGTATTCTAAAGGCTAGGTTGTAGTTCTTGGCAGGAATAAGGATGAGAAAGGGAACAACAGCATGAGTAAGGTTGTAGATGGAAGAAAATATACAAACCTGGGGATAAGAGCAGGACAAAGAGTTGGGACATAGTAAAATAAAGCTAGGTCAGTGCTTCAGTGATGTGTTTATATTGTGAAGAACTTTGTTTGTTGTTGTTTGTTTAGATTTTATTTTTAAGTAATCTCCATACTCAGCATGGGGCTTGAACTCACAACCCCAAGATCAAGAGTTGCATGCTCTACCAACTGAGCCACAACCAGGTGCCCCTGTGAAGAATTCTGAATATCAGTTGAGAAGTGTATCTCTTAAGCAGAGGCCCTTCAAGATGTTTGAATAAAGAGTATTTTGGATTTAGAAAAATGTCACAGAACAAAGGGTCTTGGTATTAAGACTGTGTGCATATGTATATTTCTATACAATGGTTTAGACCATGCGTTAATAAATGTTTTCTGTAAATGGCCAAATAGAAAATATGTTAGACTCTGGGGGCCTTATGGTCTCCATTACAAATATTTAATTTTACTATTGCAGCTGAAGAGCAGTTACAGACGATACATAAATGAATGAATACAACTGTGTTCAAATAAAACATGTTCATTCACTTACAGGTTTAATGACCTTGTAAGCTAATGTTACTTAATGTCTCTAAAACCTCAGTTTCTTTGATCTACAAAATGGGGATAATAATTGATAATAATTGAAAGTCTGTGAAGCAGACTTTCAGTGAGGATTAAATGGGATGAATGAAAAGCACTTAGTAGAGTGACAAACTCATGCCTTAGTACTTATGAATGTTAACATTGTGATGATGATATGCATTACCTAAGTCTGGTAATAGAAGGCATTAAAAATTTCTAGGAAGCAAATGAATCTGAGAATCTTGTTCTTCATTGTACTGATTCTCTATAATATAATCTTTTATGTCAAGGGAAATGATGGTCATGACTTTTTTTTTTTTTTAAATAATGGGCGCCTGGGTGGCTCAGTTGGTTAAGCGACTGCCTTCGGCTCAGGTCATGATCCTGGAGTCCCGGGATCGAGTCCCACATCGGGCTCCCTGCTCAGCGGGGAGTCTGCTTCTCCCTCTAACCCTACGCCCCTCTCATGCTCTCTCTCTCATCCTGTCTCCCAAATAAATAAATAAAAATAAATCATAAAAAGATAAAAATAAAACCATTTAAAAGTAAGGAAAACAAGAAACCTAAGAAGGGGATGAAAGGTATAAGTTGTTCATTTTCAGAATAGTCCCTGAGTATATGAACCATCTTTTTTTTGAGGCGGCTTTACCCTAACCTCCTGTTTCTTGACACTACTGAGAGGCAAACATTTAATACTCCCTAAATGGATAACTTTTGCCAGATTTTTTGTTTATTATCAACACAGAATCATCTATTATCAACAAAAACATATTTTCCCTCTAGAGCATATAATAAATAAGTTACTGGGCTAGAAAGTAAAGAAATAAAAATATACATGGGCCCATGAGCTTAATATCCTTAAGTCTATAGTTTTTGAGTATTAACCAATCCAATTTCTCATTTCAAAGAGGAAGAAACATGTTTATCAAAGGTTAAGTATAGTGAAACGTGACTTGCTCAAGATCTATAAAGCAGACAGTTATGGAATGAGAATCCTAGTTACTAGTCTCTGAATCCAATAGTGGTTACATATTAGTAACAACTTCTAAACCATTTCTTTCTAATGCTTTCACTAACCAGAACATTGGTTCACCCAACCTTCAACAGCATTAGCTCACAACAAAATGTTAGGTGACGGGGGAGAGGGAAACCTTTTGAATGTCCCCATCCTATCCACCTACCCAAAAGAGGCAAATGAGAATGGATAAGATGTGGGTAATCTGGAAAAGATCCTCCACCCCATGATTCTGTACCATTTCAATGATATGCTTAGCCTCACTGCCTCAGTAACTAGAGAAACAGGACTTTATACATAAAGTCTCTTTACATATAATGATCTATAATGCTGAATGTTAAATAAATGAGGCAGATCACAAGAATTATGTGAATTCAGGGGTGGAATAATCAGTGAGAACTCTCCCAGGAATGAGACTGGCTTCAAATTCTTGAGTAGAGGAATGTATTTTAGAAGGTAATTTTTACCACATATCCCATGTCCATTATGTAGGTATTATGCTAGGTGCTGGGGACAAGGCAGTGACTAAGATGTAGATTAAAATTCCTGATCCACTGTTAGCCTACAGTATTGTAAGATACTATCCATTAAGCTTTTTCAAGTTCTACTGTCTACTGACTTTGATAATGCTCCTCAGTTTTCTTTCCCAGGGAGGCAGAAATTTCAACAGCAGCAGTGGCTAGTTCACACCTGCAATTCACATAGCAACTGTAGTCATGCAGTCCTGGTGACCACTTAGACATTAACCAGAGATTTAACAATTTAATTAGATTTCCTGTTACTAAACTCACATTGCAGACCTCAAATGAATAATTTTCAAGGTGTCAGACATGAAATATGGTAGGCTGCAAAGATGGAAAACATTAATAGAACTGTTTTTGATAAGCTATATTACAGTTTAATTAAAAAGCGATTTAATTTAAATCAAAATAATATTTTAAAGACTATGACCACTTTGAGAATAATTATGTAATTAAGAAATTTCAAAACTGCCAAGAACATGTTTTAATAAGGAGCTTCACTTACAAAATTTTTTTTTAGATTTTAAAGTCTAAAAAGAACAGGATAAACTTATCTACAATTATACTTAACTATGTTCTAAACACTTCTATTAACTAATTCAATCCTCATAACAATGCCCATTGTACATAGGAGAAAATGGAAGTACAAAGACATACAAATAGTAAGAGACCAACATGGATCCAAGCCCAGGCAGTTTGGCTTCACACTCTTAATCATAAGCTATAAAAAGTAAAATATTTAAAAAACAAATATCTTAGATAATAACCTTTACGGAGCTTTCACATTTATATGTCAAATATGTTATATAACACTAATAATCTTTTACATATTGCCTTAAAGTAAAAATATACTTAAATAGACATTATCTCAAATAATTTAGATCCAAATTCAACTGACCATTTAGAACAGAAGAATGCATTAGGTACAAACATACAGCAATGCTTGTAAATCCATGAGGGAAAAATAGCAGAAGTATCAGATGGAGAGAGTAAAGGGTCAGAACAAACAGTTACTAAGTATCTATTCTGTATCAGGTACTAGACTAGGTACACTATGAGTTAAGTATCATGACTTCAACAATGAGAAAACATTAAGTCCATTATGAAATTAATCCAAAATCATATAGCTTCCAAGTGGCATAATAAGGATCAGAATTCAGACTGGACTGACTCCAAAGCCTCTCTTCACTACCATGTTGCATGGCTTAATAGAAAATGAGAAAAAAAAATTTGTATTTTTGTTGATAGGAATATCAATATAAACAATAGTTTTAGGTGGCTATCTCAAAAACTAATACTCTCTTAGGCTGCATTAATCTAATGATAGTTTGGTACTATACCCACCATATCTAGAAAAGTGGCCCACAGACATTTAGGCTTACATGAAATTTTAAGGTACTTTAAGGAACTGTAAGGTAATTTAAGGAAAATTTAAGAATAAGGTAATGGTAACTATTTCCAAATAAAGAGCTATTACATAGAATTATAGATTCAAGATTTTGGATTAAAGTAAAAAGAATAAACAGAGGTCTCAAAACTGGAATAGGCTGCTTTATGAGATATTCAACTAGAGTTTAAAAACCAAATATTAGTGATTTTGCAGAGGGAGCCATGAACAAGGTAGGAGCAGAAGTAGTTTTACTCCCTGCCTCTACTTCTAATTAGAGCATTTTGGTTTTTACATGTTATGTGGGCATTCCATTTTAGATTTTTTTTGGAGGGGGGAGGTGTTCTGATGGTATAAAAAAAAAATCTAAAACCCACTGGATTAGACATACTACAAGATTTCTTTCAACTCAAATTCTATATTCCTGACTGGTTTTGATGAAGGTCAAGAATATAAAATCCTATCTTGATTTCATTTGTCAAAGCAAAACAAAAACAGGCCAAACATACCATTTTTTTCTGCAAAGGCAGCTGCATCTTCTTTAGTACTGAAGGTTAGAACCATGTTGGACAAGGGATCAGCCCTGTAAGAAACAATTTTTTTCCAGGATTTAACATTAAGCTTTGGGTAAAAAAAAAAAAATAAAGGCATATTTAAATAAAGTAAAATGTTTAGAAAATAAGTAGCTGCTATAATATCAGATAAGTATACTACTGATGAAATACCTGATTTTAAAACTGTTAACTTTTTGAATATCTTTTCCTGTGTTAAACTGAGATTATTCTAACCTGTACTGTCAAATTAAAAAAATTTGTAACTGCAAAGACATTCAGCAATTTTTAGTCCTTAATAAAATCATTTATTCAACTCTTAAAAAAAAAAAAGAAAAATTGAATTAAAAAAAATCCCAACAAATGGGCCTTACAAATTCAATATCAAGAAATTTACTGGTGAGTGCAATTGTCAGTACCATCATTACCCCAAAAAATAGATGGCAATAACATCTAAATGAACCTTCCATCATTACAGACAATAATTGAGCATAATGGCCCCATGAAAAAATTAAGCTCCAAGAATTAACATCTAATTGAGTTTTTCAATCTAGGATAGTGATAATGTTTACAAGTCTACACAGAACCTTCACAAAATGCACAAAATATCACATATAATTTCAGAAACATCACTTTTACTAGTACATTTATAAAAAGGTAGAACACTGTTTGCTACATAGGTACATTCTGTGAAACATCGTTTAGAAATGTGGAAGTAAAAAAGTAAAGAAGATTTAGGAAGTAATATGGATAATGGAAAGATATGAGATATACACAGGAGAGAATATACAGAAGTAGCCCTCACTGAAATGAAGATCCACAAATTATTGCTACTGAAGTTTTAGTCCTCTACTATGGTTACTGTTCTGGGGCTGCTATGAGATCCCTATAATGATATGTATTCTTACCATACTCCCTCCCCCACCTTGCAAGAAAAAGAGCTTCACATTGGTTAGCTGCATTAGTACCAATAACAAATAATTTTATATTGATCCCTCCTTTTCAGAGCACACATGATTTCTCAATTGATAGTTTATACTGAGAACAGAAATGTCAACATAAATACAATCCAGTAATTTTTTTCATTTTTTTTTAAAGATTTTATTTATTTGACAGCACAAGCAGGGAGAGTGGCAGGCAGAGGGAGAGGGAAAAGCAGGCTCCCCGCTGAGCAAGGAGCCTAAAGTGGGCTCAATCCCAGGACCCCGGGATCGTAACCCAAGCGAAAGGTAGAGGCTTAACTGACTAAGCCACCCAGGTGCCCCCAGTATTCTTTTTTTAAAGATTTATTTATTTGAGAGAGAGGGAATGAACAGAAGGATCAGAGGGAGAGGGAGAGAGAATCTCCAGCAGACTCCCCACTGAACACAGAGCCTGACATAGGGCTGGATCCCACAACCCTGAGATCAGGAGGGAGCTGAAACTCAGAGTCAGATGATTAACTGTGCCACCCAGGAGCCCCTGATGGCATAATTTGATGAGTGTTGATATTCATGTTAGCTTAGTTGAGAACAGGAAACAAAACAGAAAAACTGTAGGAAAAACTCAGGAGCCAAGAGCTCTATAATCTGCAAAGGTGGTACAGCCTTTATTATTTTCACTTTATTTAGGAAGAATTACATAGGTTGAACAGTAACAACCTGCATCAATAAGCCACCATTTTCCCAGCCACTTCATTTCTATCCTTCTCATTCTTCATCTCCTATATTTTGAAGTTCTTTTCTAAGTATGTTGCCACAACCAGCTTTCACCCTTTCTTATCCTTCCCCCAAACTCTACTATACTTTCCTAACTAATCTTTCCTCCTCCTCGACTCCAATCTACACTTCACCATGTTGCCAGATTAATTTTCCTAAAGTTCAACTCTCAAACTCACTGTCCAATTTTAAAACTTAAAATAGTTTCCATTGTCTACCAAATGAATTTCAAAATCTACACTTTAGCATTCAAGCACTTCTACAATATGATCAGAACCCACTTTCCAGTCTTCTTTTTAATTTTCCCCCTTGGAGGTAACCAACTAGTCAAACAGATTGCTAAATGTTCCTCTAAATGTAGCCTATACGTTCCCACCAGCTCAATCTGTTCCTTCCACTAAGAATATAGAGAGAGGCCACTATATCAGCATATAGAAGTCCACCCCAACCATCTCTCATGGTTTACAATGAATACCAATCTTTTCCATGAAGTCTTTTACATCTTAACCTCCTCCAAATATAAATAATCTCTTTTCAAACTTTACTAAATATAATTTGTACTTATATTTTTAAACTTTATTTGCTCAATTCCCAATTACTGAGGTTCCAATTTGGGTAATGGCAGATTTACCTACCATTAAAATCAGATTTATCGGGGCACCTGGGTGGCTCAGTCGTTAAGCGGCTGCCTTCGGCTCAGGTCATGATCTCAGGGTCCTGGGATCGAGCCCCGCATCGGGCTCCCTGCTCTGTGGGAAGCCTGCTTCTCTCTCTCCCACTCTCCCTGCTTGTGTTCCCTCTCTCGCTGTGTCTCTCTGTCAAATAAATAAATGAAATCTTAAAAAAAAAAAATCAGATTTATCTGCCTAACAACTATAGATAATAAAAAACAACTGTTTGAAGGGAACAGAGTGACCAAAAGCAGGAATGAAAATGGAGAGGAATCAACTTTTCAAAGAAGGGAACCACAATGGATTAGATCCAGTTGATAGTTTTTCCCCTAAAGGTACTCTCTGGTCCAGACATTAGGACCATCAAGAACTCAAGCAGAAAGCCACAGTCTCATCAGCACAAGGAGTCTGGAGATGGGAGTCTAGGATTGCCAGAGCAGCTGGGAAGTTAGGGGAGGAAACAGTGAAAAGGAGGAATCTGCAGAGGAGAGAACTTCTGAACTGCACACAAATGTGCAAAGGCTCTAAAACAATAGCTGAGAAGGCTGAAAGAACTAAGCAGAGATTTCAGCAGCTGTTTCCTTGCTACCGGGGAGACTGAGTTTGGAGTCCCACAGAATTAGAAGGACTTGGTAAGAACCTTGTGCTTTCCACTGAAACTTCAAAAGACCATGCCTTTTTATTATTTTTTTTATATTTTAAGTAGGCTCCACGCCCAGCATGGAGCCCAACCTGGGACTTGAACTCATGACCCTGAGATCAAGACCTGAGCTGATATCACAAGTGAGACACTCAAATGAGTCACCCAGGCGCCCCCATGCCTTGTTATTTTTTAACACTATGTTCTAGGACTAAAACCAGGGTAAAACTGAAACAGACCCACCCCAACAAAGCATAAAATAAATCCTCCACAAATTCAAGGTAATCTATTCATAATTTAACTGTCTTCTAGAACAAAACTCCTCACATTACCAGTGTCATTAAGTGGATAGGCGTTAAGGATAGAGAATTAATGGAATGATACTTTGTTCCTTCTCCTTTTTTTCAGAATGAAACTTCTTAATAGAAATTGGCTTGATCAGGGGTTAATTAGCATATTAATATGAAGTCATAGGTTCACCAGAAGATATGTACAAGAGTCTTCATTTTAGGGTGCCTGGGTGGCTCAGTCGTTGAGCGTCTGCCTTCGGCTCAGGTCATGGTCCCTGGGTCCTGGTATCGAGCCCCACATCGGGCTCCCTGCTCGGCGGGGAGCCTGCTTCTCCCTCTCCCACTCCCCCTGCTTGTGTTCCCTCTCTCGCTGTGTCTCTCTGTCAAATAAAATCTTAAAAAAAAAAAAAAAAAGCTTCACTTCGGTATTATGCATAATAACCCCAACTGAAAACTGTTACAAAAGGACAACAGGCCCAAAATAGAGTCACTTGTACTTAGCCACACATCAGCAAATCAAGAGTTCACAAGACTTCACTTTAACCTAACTGCAATTTCAGTTTCTCTCAGGAACGTAACCTTAAACTAGTCAATCTGGAATACCAGTCACAGAGGTGAGATAATCTGCTCTTTCCTTGTCCTTGCCCCCTTTTGCCTTTCATTTTGCACAGCATGTAGAAGCTTCTTTTTGTTTGCTAGATGGACTGCAGCCAGATTCATGAATCACTGAACGAAGCCAATTTGATCTTTAAATTTCTCAGCTGAATTTTGTTTTTAACCAATTTAGTGGCAGCAGTGGGATCTGAAGCAACTTTCTGATGGCATTCAGAGACAGTGAGCAACAGGTGTGGTACCCACAAACCCTTCTGAGTTCTTGGTCTTTTTCACCATTTGCAAGAGCCACGGGTAAGTTCCTCTTGATTCTGAACCCACTCTTCGCAGCAATCCCAGTCTAATCGGCATACCAGTCAGTCCCACGTAGGGAGCTGCTGGTAGTTCACACCACAATTCTGGAATTCTGGTTTAACTGGTGGAAACTCCCAGTCCTTGATTCTGTCCCAAGACCTGTGTGGGAACTGTTAGTGGCCGTTGCAGTTTCCCACTGATGTGGAGCGTCCAGTCCCCGTCTGTTGGTGTTTGCTAGTTCAGTCCTTTCCCCACTCCAAGGTACCATGATGGAAACTACTGGTGGTACACACAGGACTATCTCATGGCCAGGACACAGTAACATCTCTAGGTTATTGCCAATATATTAAGGTATACATGTTTGTTTGTCTTGTGTTGTGTAAAGGTTAATGCTAATGGGGATCCTGGAAGCCAAAAAGCTGCAAAAATTGGTGGGAATATGTTGAGCACTCAAAAGCTGCCAGAGCATTCACCACCTAATTCAAAGATTCCCATGTTAGTATAAGTTGGTTGCAGAATGGGTTAGATTGACACTATATCACTGCCAACCTCAAGAAAATTTCTATGCAATGAGGTACACTGCAAAATCCCCAATGCGGCAGCACATCCCTTTTAGGTATTAGTTTGGCTCTGAGAGACCCAAAGGCTTAGCTTGGGGAAAAAAAAAAAAAAGAGATCCTTAAAGTCTAAAAAGTTAAGCATGCCACCTTCTGGCACACCTGCATATTTTGTCTAAGAACTATAGTCTCAGAAGCTATAAATATCTACAAAAATGTCAAAATTTTATTAGAGATAACCTAGAATTACAATGTCCATTATGGGAAACAT